ACACCAAAATCAGATTCTCTTTCTCTCTAGTGCAAGAAAAGTCAAATACAGCCCAGACTCAACTTTACACGAGGCCTTAACCAAAATTGTACTAAACAACAGTGGAGACTTGAAAGGGATTTACTCTGATGTTTTTAGGTGTGTTGAGGAGCAAGTACTGCTGCCTGCCGAGTTCCCAGGAAGGGGAATAAGCTGTGAAGCCAACAGCTGTGTTGGAGGCAAGTGGCTTGAGAATTCAACCCATTGCACGGGGTGGGATCTCTTGAAAATGGCTGCAGGGGGTTGGAAAGGCAAGTCGGGGATGTCAGGAGGTTTATTTTTAGACGCTGATTTTGTAAAAAAAATGTTCTTGTGGCAATTTAAACTCATAATTTTGTTCCTTTTTATTACTTAAAATCTTTGCAACTAAAACAATGGTCAAGTATTTAAATGTATTTTTTTTTTAACATCCTTACTTTATTTCTTGAGCAGATCACGAACAGTTCCAACTGGCAATCGCTTATCCTTTTTAGGCAGCACATGAAAGGAGGGGGACAGATTTGTAGTTAAAGACTGTGCAAGTAACAAATGTCTTCAAGGGATTGGCATCCTCAGAGAATGATCTACATTGTCTTGGAAATGTCTCAAAAGCCTCTAATCATCCCAAGGCCATGCTTTAGTTTGTTTATGGTGACTTTGACACAGTGTCATAACCCCTCCCAAAACAAACAATGTGTCTTCAAGAAAACCACTCTGTTAAGACTCTGAGCAGAAATGTAAAGGCAAAGAAAAGTGCTGAGACTAGACCTGAAGAGCCAAATTTCTGTAGTACAGAAAATGTAGGAAGGAAACTCCAGAGGAGGAATTGCATAGTTAACAGAGCCACTGGGCAATCTCAAGCCCAAAAGTGGACATAAAAAATTAGAATACTGGATATGAGTTTAGCAAGGTAGTGTGCATGGAGGTCAGCCAAGGAGAGACCTGAAAAATATCTGGTCTGTATCAAGCTGGAACTCAAGAGATGAAAAGTAGAATAGACCAAAGGACATTTCTTCTAAAAAAGGGAATAATTCTAAAAGTAATGTTTCAGGTCCCCTGAATGCTAGGAGGAAACAAGGAAGAAGGACAGGACGTAGATTCTGATGGTCAGTCTGATACAAGGTATGAGATGCAGAGGAGATCCATTCTGCAGGAGGCAGACAGACAATGGGTGCAGACAGTGGGATGAAAGGGAGCTCTCAGACTACGAGAGCAGGACCACTGCACTGAGCATCCACCCAGCGTGGAGCCGTTGCTGCTGATGAGGTGCTACCCAGGCAGATGCAATCTGAAGACTGAGAAGAGGATTCATCAAGTTCTTCAAGTGCTTGTGCTTTTGTAGGAAAATAATTTACCAGGGATATTAGAAAGTCAATGGAGTTAAGAAGACAATAGCTGAGAGTCTCAGAGATCAGAAATCCTGTAATTTCATCTGCTGAAGATAACCACATTGCACTGTGTCATTCAGAAGAACAAAAATACAGAGCCACAAAGGAAAGGATGTACAGTGTAATGAAAGAAACTGGAAAAGAAAACAGATGAAGGACACAGTTTGGTTTTCCTGGAAGATGTGTCACTGGCGAAGGCAAATTGGCTAAAATGGGACACGCTGACTAAATTCAGGTCAGCCTACATGACCTCATGTTCAACATGAAACAATAACTGGAATTTAGAGACAGGGAAAGCCAAATTAAATAAAGCAGTTCAAAAATTAAAGTAACGGTTATCCCCCATTTAAACAAACTAGCAAAGGAAATAGCAAACTCCCCGATCACTTGACATTTTAATATAAAGAGCAGAAATCTTTCTGAAAGATTGAAGTCAAAACATGGTATCAGGTTTAACAAAGAAGTGTATCACATTTAACAGCTTTACTAAGTCGTCAGACTGATCTAGTAGTACTGTCTGCCCCTAAAACCAATCGCTTTATTTTCTTTTTTTTTTTTTTCCCTTTTTCCCTTCTTTCCCCACATGCCCTGATTTTCAGAAGGTAGAAAGGTTGGAGTGAATGGAATAAAGGAAATACTGGCAGTGCTGCCTTCTTCAAGCAGAACAACTAACATTATTGAAGCATCCACTGAGATTAAATAAGAGAAGACAACATTTCAGTCTGAGGTAAGGAGTAAGCAGGTAGCAGCCAATCTACAGCACTCAAAGGCCTTTGGAAAGTCAACCTTAACCATCTGAGGTGGAAAGGCTGAACTAGAAAATAAGGCATTTTCTCAAAAACACTTACTAAAGAAAAAGCCTTGAGGCTTGCTAGAAAGGAAGCTGAAGTGTTTTATACCCTGAATGGAAAAGGCCTCTAGCTGTTGGTTTGGTAGCAACCTTGTGTGACCTTTAAAAATATTCTCACATTTTGGATTGTAAAAACAAAGTTATATACATATATATATAACCAAACTAAACCAACAAAACCCCAAGCACAAACAAAACAAAACCCAAGCCCAAGCTGCAGGGACTTCAGGACTGACCACCACTCACCCCAGCTGGAAACCCTCCCCACGACTTCCCTGCCAACAGCTTTTCCTAACCCACACTTATGCTTGTCTGTTCACCCACTGGCATTTCTATAAGATTTCTCCTTCTTCCTCATCTTTTACTATGAATAGTCACTTGCCCAACTCAGCCTTCAAGCTGAAAATGCCAAATTACTCCAATTTCTTCTAGCACGATAAACCCTCCCCACCTCCAGTGGTTTTGAGAGGCAGACTTTGCTACAACTCCAGCCTGAACTCACCCTTTTGAAAACACATCAACGAAGCTATACATTAAATGCTCCAGGTGCTGGGCAGCATCTCTGATGCATCCTTAATGCTACCAAAACCAGTGCCAGACCTATATCACCACACCACTTTTCTCCATACCCGTCCCACAGTGGCAATCACTCGGTCCTAGCATGGGAAATCACTGACGGCTCATTTTTCTGGCAAGATTTTGGTTTGACCTGCAACTACCTGACTTTGCAGTGCACCACTGGTACCCTTCTGCTCCTAACAGCCCGTTCTTTGATACCGTCACCTTCCTGTGCACTCTGGTGATGCCTGCAAGCTTTGAGCCAGAAGCAGTTTCAGTAGTTGGTCTCCCTCTTGACCGAGATCCTTGATTCAGATAACACCTCCCAATAAAAAAACTGAGACAGGCACTTTGACTACTTCTTTTTCACCTTTCAACACTGCCTCAGGTCATCCATGGCCCGCTGCTGCCACTGCTTTCCCCACTTTGTATTTTCCCACTAACTCCATCTCCTGTCTAAACTTTATTAGCACATCCTTTGCTGGGCAGAGGGAATCTAACCACATTTTCACTACCCAACAAAAGCAGTCATAAAAGATAGGTGGTTAGTCTAGCACAACAGCCTTTTTTATTATGGTACACTTCTCCAACTAGTCGTTTACTCCATACTTTTTAAAAAAAAAAAAATTAATTCAGCTTTTCAGACCATAACCCAGAATTCAGTACCCGTCAGTCTTGTCATTGCCTGGATGGCTTTTCCTTTCTGCTCCAATGGAAGCAGGGAACTGGATCACTCTCCAGCAGTCAGGCCAGCAGATACACTTCAAGCACAAGCATAAAAAGCATTGACCAGGTTCCCACCACGGTGGCAATGCTCTATCACACCCATCAGAGCAGTATTGCAGGACCAAATCCTGAAAAAGGCTGTGCTCGAGCAAGCACAGATGGCAGCTCAAAGGTAAGCAGTGGAAGGACAGCAAGCTTCAGAACCTAGCCCGAGAAGTGCAAGCAATAAATACTGGTGCCTTCATTTTTGGTTCATCCATTTATTGATTCACTGGAAACAAAGCTTACTTACATAAGCCACACCCAAACTGATGCATGAGAAGGAAAAAAATAACAACCCTCTTGGCTTTCCTGAGGAAATGTGGTTGCAAATGAGACTGTCAGCGATTCTTTGCAGCCAGATGTTAAATGTTTGTTTTGCATATGCTGAAGAACCATCTTCAGCCTGACAAAGCAGCATCATAAACCAGGAATTACCAATGAAATATGAAATCTTCTGTCAATTGCAAGAGACTCCATTTGTTAGTTTGGTTTTTGGTTTTGGTTTTTGTTTGTTTTTTTTTTTTTTTCAAGTTTTTGGCCACAAAGCTGTTAGAAGTGTCTTTGCTGGGATAACTTGCAGCTTTGGGGCTGTTTTCTTTTGTTTCCTGGAGGGAATAGCTTTTAATATCAAGTAAATTGTGATGACATTTTTGGCTCTAAACATTCAAGGCAAAAGCCTTCCACTCTTCCATGGAGACAATATTTCACCTGACACAGTGCTCCTTGGGTACAGACCTGCAACTTCAGTCTTTCTTGATTTGCAGCCTCCTAACGTTTTCTTAACAGAACTGGAGGCTGCTCTGTAGACCTGCAGGAATGGGGGACAGGAAATTTCATAGATTCCACAAAAACAGCTCACTAACTTTAGGTGCACAGTTACTGGTTCAGAATTAACAGGCAAGAGACCATCAAGGAGGTTTTTATCAAATTTTGTTTCAGAAATTTTCATTTCTGCCCATCCTGGCTTTCCTTCTTGAAGCAGCTGAACTATTGTCTTGCTTTTTTAAGCTGCGTAGGGATGAGGACATCTTATCCAGGAGCAGGAAAGGCCAAAACCAGCTTCCAGCTGATACCTAACCTGCCCTGAAAACACTTCTGCCTGTGCTCAAAGAGACAAACTCCTTCAACACAGCAAATACAATTCATGACGTCCTGCTGCACGCTCCATCATCATGACAGCAAATAAAACAATGGACACTTCTCATGTTGGACTTCGGCAAAAGACGTTTATTATCATTATTATTATTATTGTTGTGTTGCTCTTGTACCTCCTTTGCTCTGCCCACAGTGGTGGCATAAATGCTGTTACCATATTGTAGCTGATGATGCCGGTGTACAAATCAAAATCCATCTTAATTTCAAACTCCATTAGAAACACAGGAAAAAAGATCAACATTTACAAAATGTAAAGGGAAAAATGGTATGGAAAGAATTACTTTTCTTTTTATTTTTTTCAAGCTTCCAAGACAGTATTACAAACAACAGAGAGCAAAGTAAAGCTAGAAATGAAATACTTGACAGCATCTGTTTAAAAATTACAGCTAAGAAACCTAATAAAAGTTGAATAAACAGTTACTAGAAATAAAAATTTTTACACATATGATATTTGTCTGGGATTTTTATTTCTTTAAAATAATTCATACAAATGGTTACAGTCACAAACATGTTTTTAACCAAAAATATTGCTAGCCTACCACATTACCAGGAAGGAATCAATGTAGGCAATGAAATGCTGCTACTTTTCAGTAGTCTAGTGCCTTTTTCGCATACCACCAATAATATATACTTTAACTGGTGACAAAAAGCACAACGCTCGTTTATACAAAACCTTTTTTTTTTCCTCAAAATCTCTTTGCAAGGTTATCTTCATTTTGAAATAAGGGAATTCATGCCAAAATTAGGAGAAACTGTTTTTCTTTTGTTTACTAAATTATTCTAAAAAATAAGACAAGCAGGTAGAAAAAACAATGCACTGTGTGGCGTAGAAAGAAAAATGGGAAAAATTCATTGTCCTGAGAAGTTTGCCAACTGCCTCATTTTTGGGCATGTTTTAAAATATAAAAGAAAGGATTTTTAATCTCAAAACTGGTTTGTTGAATGCCTCCCTTATGTTTTTCCTTTGACAGCTAAGCAAACAAACCCTTTTTAATGTTCTAAAAACTGTACACAGACAAGTACATTCATGATATAATTAACTACTAACTTCTCTTGCTTAACAAAGAACCCATAGGACACAGAAACAGTGAATCAGTCCACTGGACAGGGACAAACTACAATTTATACGGAGGAAAAAATGTTTCCAAATCTTCTTTTTGTCTCCCACCTTTTCCTTTTATACTGTATATTGGACCAGTTTCTAAAACAATAATCGTCTCCTCCTGTAAGTTCATGGTTTTGCCTTTAATCAAAATCCAGGGTTTTGTTTTGCCTTTTTTTTTTTTTCCACACGCTGAAGTTGAAATCTCTGATGTTGGGAATGCTGTTTTCGTAGGCTACAATTGGTCGCTCGGGTGGTCTCTATCAGCTTCTGGTTTGACAGTTTGGCCGGGGGAAGGAGCATGGGGCGGGTGGGCTACAGCAGGGAGGCCGTGTGATAAAGACATGGGGTTGGGGACTATTCCTTCTACTGCTGCAGGTATGCCAGTCGAAGCCACGCTTACAACGCCTGGGGGATACCTGCTGAGAGAAGAAGATGAGAACGTGCATTAAGCCCAAGGCATGACTGACCAGACAGCCCACCCTGCCTCTTTCTAGAGCTACAGAGATGCTTCTTCAGTTCTCAGACCAGTAAGAAAGGCAGTTGGTTAAGCTCCAGATGAGATACATTTTGCAGATGCTGCTAAATAAAGGAGAATATGCTTTATTTCATCCAAATGAGAAATAAAAGTTTGCTAGATTGTTTCTTCACATTTCGGATTGAATAGCACGAGTGACAGCACAGCAAAGGAAACAACCTGGAAGTATTGCTTCTCTTGAAGCACACCTCAAACACAAATAACTCAAGCTAGGTCCATGCAATACTGCTCTGTTCTCTATGACTTTTCCTCAAGCTGACCTTCTGGGATTTTTTAAATCTTTCATTCTCATGTAGAGATTTTTAAATTTCATGGTTGTGGCTTGAAAAAAATATTCCTTTAAACTAATCTTGCAGTTGAAGCTTTCTGATAGCTCCCCAAAACAGTAACCATACCCACACGCTCTTTAAATGACAAATTCGAGCCTACTGCACCCAAGTAACTTTTTCAGCATCAAACGTGCCACTGTACTTGTCTGAAAGAGAACCAGTACTAGTTAGACAGAAGGCAGGTGCTTTAGGCAGACTGCAAAAGAGATGCAAATACAGAAAGTATGGATGGTTTTAAAGATTCCTTACTCTATCTGGATGAACACTGAGGCCCAAATATTTACAAATGCCACAAAAATATTACCCTCTGATTCAGCTTGACATTACCAATTATCAGGCTAAAAAAAAATCTTGCAAATCTACTGTTTCAATCTCAAAGTTCAGATGTAATTCATGAACACTGGTATTTCACTGTGCCGTATATTAAAAACTGCTACACAAGTATGTTTTCTTGTTAATGAAATACTCAATACTCATTAGCGAGTTATCTCATGCTGGCCACTTACCACTGGTCCTCTGCCTCCCCTCCCCATCATAAAGCCACACACTCATCCCTTGTTCTTTCCTGCTGTATGTCCTCACCCACGCATCATAGCAAGAGGATTATCTATTTAAAAGCCTAAACACCCAAACCTACCACTTACTCACTGAGGCATTTGCTACCTTAGTATTTACTCAGAAACAAATGGGAGAAAAGGCACTTCTAGTCTTGTCAAGCTTTTCCAAATATCACATTATTCTGCTGTTGATTTTCTTCTCATCAGAGTTCAGTGCTGAAGGCACCAGGGAATTTCACCTCTCTTCAGCAGCATCATTTCCATGTAACACACGTTCATGCTGCTCACCCTAAAGGTCCCTCAGACTGAGGGGAAACTAGTGCAGAACTCGAGCAAAACTCAGAGGAGGAAAAAATCTGGATGAAAGTGCACATATTTTTCTTTTTTCTTCCACCAGAGAAGCACCACGGGAACTCCTTTTTGCAGATGCTGTGCCAGGAGGGCTCAGCATGGCTATCTGATGTAGCACAGGGACAACAAAGACACCGTGCACTGGGAAAGACTCTTACAGATCATACCACTACTGACTGGAATCTGGGATGGCTAACCAGTATGTGATAGATCACCCCACCTGTTGGCCAGAGAACTGTCTTCTCCATTGTACATGTACTAACAGGGCTTCCTACGCTAATTCCTTCTCCAGAGAGGTGTCTTAGAATTAATTTGCAGTTGCTAGGGGAATTAGTTGCTTGTTTCAGTACCTCAGTTTGAATCTTATTAATTGAATTTGCTTTAATTCCTATGAAATCTGTCAGACTGGGTATTGTTTTATTTAGTCATGAAACAGCTTATCTGTCACTCTAGGTGCTTTGTAAAAAACACAACATGAAATGACAAAAACCTCCATTTGAAAGCCCAACACAGCAACTGTTTGCAACACAGAATTTCTACTTTCTAACAACGTATTCTCTGAGCATCATCAACACACTGGAGCTGGGAGGAATCAAGGAGAGAGCAAATTCTGCAGGAAGAGAAGTTCCCCCCTCCCCTTGTGAAAATGGATGTGCTGGATCAGGAGCATCAACAGTTACTGTATGAGTAAATTATGCAGTCCAAACTACACATCTGTTAATTTTCCTTTGACTCCAAATATTATTTCTGCATATAAAAATATTCCCCTCGAACACCAAGTTATAACAATTGGGATTCTACCTGCCAGCACCCCTCCTCAGATACAGGCTTCCTACAGGGTTTTAGTAACATCCAAAAGCCCTGTAACTGTTTTTCTTGTCTTAAAGCCACAGTGGCAGCAGTCAAAACACAGATAACACAGCCAGCTACAGAAACTCTATCTTGCTTGACAGCTCCTAACTCTAAATTGCCATTCTCTTTTCATAATTTTTGTCCCTTTTTAAATTAATCATCAGTGTTATTAGCTCTCAAAGGAGGGCACAATCTCACCAGCCTCTACACATGGGCATTTCTAGCCCACATAACCTTCCCTTATGTTGCTATTTATTGCTTTTCTATTCTTAATCAGCAAATACATTCCCTCCAGCATATAAAGTTGCTCCCAATCTTCCTCCTCTGGCAGCAGAAAACTGAAATGTTTTCCAGGTAGAATGTCCACCGAATTAAACTTCTGCAAAGTAGAACTGAGAGATCAGTTACAACCCCTCTGCTACTTCATGCTCTTCCTTCCCACGCATAGTCTTAATTTATGAAGAAAAACACAGTATTCCTCTTAATTACAACCAAAATGCAACTTTAATTTCTGAGTTCATCTCATGTATTTTTAAAATTACAGAAGCACCTTGAACTCACTCTGTTTACAAAACTGTGTTCCAAGAGAGCTTAAAAATTAAAGTGCATGCTGTTATATTACATTACAGAGTCTGAAAATCACCAGTGAAATACCTCAATATGAAATACTTCCTGAATTAGCAACATCTAACTATTCTCATCCAAGTATCTAGACAGCCTCATCCTCTACCTGTTAGAAGGCAGGGAGGTATGTCAATATGTCTACGAATTGCACAATCACTGTTCACTGGCTGTCAGATTTCACTTTGCCTATAACCTGCACGCCCTGACACAGGAAATGGCAGGGGATTGTTTAACAGGCAGCTCAGCAACAAATACACAGCAGTAACACAAAACCAGGGTGTATTATTATGCTGCTTCACTGAGACTACTACAAATAGTTCCTTCTCAGGCATAGTGTTAATTTTTACTCAAGGGACAGGTCCCGTTTGCTTGACCTTTTGTGTTGATAGGTTGTCTTGCATTTCACAGAGTAAATGGGTTTGTTTTCCACAGTGATATTCAGAAGATCTAGATTATATTCTGCTGATGAATGCTCAATGTTCTTTGCTTCTGGAAACACCTGATAATTTAAGTTTGATCCCACGTCAAAATACAACTGAATGACATATCCAGAACAAACTGGCCTCATTAGTTTGAGTTCACCGAAAGAGCTATTTGCATTTTTTAACATATAAATTATCATCCCGGGTCTTATCTTCTAATGCAATTACATGACTATGATACAGTTATTAGCACATCTGAAACCTCATCCTGCCTGCGAAAGACACCAGAACTCAGTTAGTTGAACATAATCACCTTGGGCTGCAAAGTAAAGACAGAAAAATTTGGTTTGAACAATCAATTCAAATTCTGTACTGAATCGAGGTAGGAATTAAGCATCAGCAAACATTGCTACTGAAACCAATTTCTTCTTAACGCCCCAGCTTCAAGTTCCACATATTTTATCCAGCACAAAATAACTGCCTTTACCCACACTCAAATGTTACTCCACCACCCCTGCAAAAAGAAGCTTTTACTATTTGTTGTAGGACTCTCAACTTCTCCCTCAAAATTCCCAATGAGTTTCTGCATTTGAAAATAATTGTGCAGTAAGAATTTATGATTAATTCTCTTTATTGAAAAAATTGACTGAAACAATGTCTAAAAAAGGCATTGAGTTCTGTGTTAATCCTGCTTAAATGAAACACATATGGTCTTTACCTTGTGAATCATTAACTCCCCAAACATTCCTTCGTGAAAATCCATTTCTAGCTGTGAAACCAGCTTCTGGTGCACTTGTGACCCCCAAAATGAGAACAAACGATTGGATTTTATTTGGGCACTTATTGCTACTGATCAGGAGATCATGGCAGAGGGTGGTGATGCTCCCCTTGTCATCTCTCCATCGCTGTCTGATGAGGCTGTTTGAAGTCACTGGGACACGAGAGCTGCAGTGCACAGCTGGGCTCTCACATGGGGTACCATGCACACAAAAAAATCCCCTCTCTATTAAAAGCATGGAATAGCCCTCCCAAAGAAGGAAAAAAATAAGACAGATGTATGAAGGACAGTGGAAAGATTAGGACAAAGAGATATAAAAAACCATAATGAAAGGACTGCACTGTCCCTTCCCTCAAGGCACTGAGGAAAGCAGCTGTTTGTAGCTTTCTCAGCCACTTTCATCCTACTTAATGAGTAAATACCATGCTGGAAGATAAAAACTTGCAGATGTTTTTCCCAAATAAAAATTGTGTGAAGCTGGCTACCAGGAGAAATCTGCTGCTACAACAGCTGCTAGGGATGAAGAGACAGTCTCTCAACCAAAGTAACTAAGGAACAAACATCTTAGATGTAAAAAAAAATTCCCCTTTCTCTTAATTAAGAGCTCCTTTCAGAGCTGATCAAGAATACATAGATAAGTCCCTCAAAAGCTTTTGCTTAAACATATAATTTGGAAAACAGTATTTTAAACATGTTTTCATAATCACCACAGGCTATTCCATTGTATTCACTATTGAGTTATTTGCTCTCTCCTGTGTCTGCAAGCCACAAAACCACAAAACAATAGTTTATTACTGAAAGTCTTTCTGTAACCTACTGCTGTATCTCTACCTTCAGCAGAAGGAACATGAACTGCCACTGCACTCACTGGAGATGACCGACCAGAATTTTTTTACTGGAATATACTAAAAACTGTCTTGTTCACATATTACTGACAACACAATAAAGGATAAGAATCAGCAAATCAAGATTATTCTCCTGAATGCAACAACTATGAAAACAACATAGTTGGGGCTTAATCCCAAAACATGCTATTTATCGATAGGAAGGTCTTTTCTTTTGAGGTCAATTTGTCCTTGAATACCCAGCTCTGAGTTAAGGAGGTATTTCTCTCATACCTGCAGCACACTTACCTGTATGCAGCACCATTAAGCTCTGGATGGACAACGCCGGGATCCATGCTGGCCCAATGTGTAGCTGCAGTCAAATGATCTTTGTTAACACAGTTTTTCAGACTGTCTGGAATACGACCTAGGATGAAGTGTGGGAGATGGAATTAAAAAAAAAAAAAAAACACATTAAAATTGTAAGCCATATGTTCTTAATGCATCTGTGTTAAAAATAGTTATAAATATTTGCAAATTTAAATCAATACACATCATACCAAGAGCTTCTTATTTTTATCTTCACCTTTTGTCTGGGAATTAGTCAATAATGGTTAAAATACTCAGCATAATTTTTATTTATTCAGGGTCTCAATAAAACTATAATTAACAAGATTCACGTTTTATGAGAAGCTAAAACTTGAATGTAGAGCATGGCTGGCACTCCAATTCAGTAACTCAGCCTCCTGCTCTCTCTTTAACTTCACATTCTTCCTTTTCCCTCCAGATGTAACAGCAATAAAAACCTTTATGGAAGGATTCTGAATGGAATTTTGCCATAAACCTGAATATCACCGACACCTTTTTCCTGTCCTCCTGATCTTCCCCTTCTTTATCTCAATTGCTCTTCAGATGTATTTACTATCCTGTATTAATCCTCATCCATCTCTTTCGTTCCTACAAAAAATGAAAATACACCAGAAAACTCCCTTCTTATTTTCTTCAAAACTTTTGCTTAATGTCTGAAGTGTAACTAAAGTTTTAAGACACAGATAGTGGAAAATCTGTCAGCCTGATTCAGCACATACTGGGCAAGCCTCTGTCTTCTGCAGAACTACCTCCAGCCTTGCAAAAACCAACATGAACAGATAGGATGCACATTTTCTTCATGGTAACAGGAATATTTCCACCTATGTAGAAAAATTTATTTGAAGATATTTAATCTGTTTATTAGTTTTATTTGATACACCAGAACATCACTGAATTTTTGCTAACAAGCAGAATGACTTAACATCTTTATTCTCCAATGGTAGTCACTGCCTGCATTCCTTCACTGTACACCTTTTTCCAATTAGTTTCTCTCTCTACACCCTTTCTCCTCTGTGGTCCCCAGTGGCTTTCCCATATCCAGCTTTATCCCACGCTTCCTGTGTCTTTCCTACATTTGTTTCACTGCAATTCAATGTCATTCTCACCTCCCTAACGCTGGCCTCAGTTTGATCCTACTACAAACCATGTGCAAACACTGAAGTGCTGACAGCTTCAATACAAATCAATGATTTACACTGCTGATAGCACAATCATACACTTTAAGAAAATATAGGTCTGTTGTGCCAGGCACGTATGTTTGGGCTATTGCACAATTATTTAACATCAAACTAGCTCCATATAGCTGACTCTTACTCAGCTTTCAGATCTTAGCCCATTAATGTTTATTTGCACATCAATCATCCCCCAAATAGGTATCGTATGCTGGTTTGTGCAAGCTCTCCCAGAGCTATTTGGGAGCAGGCAATGGTTATACAACAATTTAATGAATGTACTATTAGAGTTCTTCTGGAGTATAAGCACAAGGACTAATTCCAGCAGAGATGGTCACACTCATTAAATTAGCTCTAAACCAGAGAAAAATAGTCCTGTAAAGGACAATTCAGTTCAGGAGTTTAAGAGGTGCCTTTAATCACTATCCAGAGAAGAAAAATCTTCTTTCTGCACAGGCTATAAATGAAACTAAATTGCCCAGCCTCTCTGGGCACAAAATACAGGACAGGCTACTGCTACTGCTCTTTGTATAGCAGAGCAATGTGTTGGCACTGAGCTCCTCTCAAGGTGACACAGATGGCCCTTGATGTCTGCAGAGCATTCAGTCTATATTGCCAAGGGGGAAACAGCAAAGTCCTACTAAAGAGGAAACATTAGTGCTTAATGAATCATTTTCCAGTATGAAAATCCTTCCTTTTATTCTAGGCTACAAGGGATTCAAACCAATGCCAAATGGCTCACTCTTCTCATTTTATTTATTAGCAGTGCATATTCAAGACATAACTGTTTTCTCTTATGTGAGCAGTTTACAATTACATGCTAGTTATATAACAAAGAGACTTTGCTCTTTAAAATGCCAGACTTCTTCAGCAATGCTTTAAAGAGAGGAACATCTAGAGTACCCTCCCAACAAAATACTGAAAACTTTGGTTTGACCTACAGAATTTTTCATGACACAAGCATTACTAGGAACAGCATGAAGCTCTAGATGCTTTATGTGGAAACACTACAGCCTTAAAGACACTGAAATTCCAGACCATCCTCTCAGACAAATTTGGATGAACTTTGGAAAATATTAAGGAACCAAAGAAAAAAGAATAAAGGAAACAGAACTTCTCCTAACAAGCCTAAGCGGGCACGTAGGAAAACCTGTGAATGATACCAGCAATATCTGGATGACTTGGGAGTCAAACCCATCAAAAGGGTAGTATTTATAAGCAACAAAAAACGTGCAGATTTTTCTCACACAAGCACATTTCTGTTATAAGGAAAAAGGACTCATTTTGCAGTGCCTGCCTTCTCTGTAATCGCGACGAAACTCCAAAATGATCTGTTCCAGTTCTGAGAACAGACTTGGTGGCTCATTTCTCTGTTTTAAATATTAGAAGTGATCATGAAAACCTTAGACTGGTTCTTTTCAGTATCTTTTGAGACTGAAGAATGAGAAAATTTGTTAGAAAGAAATATGCAGTGAAGGAGCTAATAAGGTGAGTACCTGTGATCGCCCTTCGGATCTCTCGTGCTGCTTCCTCCCGCATCTCAATCGAGGCTTGTTCACTGTACCAGGCTGCATGTGGGGTACAGATCAGGTTTGGTGCATCCTTCAAGGGGCCCTGGCTAAAGCTAAACAAAGATTTAAAACAAGATCAAATGACAAAAAAGTACTGGGGGGAACAGAGAGGAGTGGGGAAGAAAGGGGGAGATCCAGATGGATTTGTACATACACAGATTAATTTTTACAGCAAAAAAAGAATTGCATTTCTATTCCCTGTTGGGATTGGTTTTAATTCTGCCCGTTAATTTAATACACTAGTCATGGTATAAATAAGCAACAATCACCTCTCACAGACTCAAAGGGTAGAACCTAAGTATGGCAGCAACATTAACTTCTGCCCAATGCACTTGCTGCTAACTACAGCCTCTGCCCCTCCAGTTCTGGTGCAGAAATGCATAAAGCAAGGCCCAAATCAGTTCAGGATGCCATTCCATTTGTCCATTTCATCAGTTTTACTGCATTAGCCAAGAAAGCCCTGTTTTCTAAAGAGCCACCGTTAATATGACATTTAGTGAAAAATAATCATACAATTATTTCCAAATTATAATGTCCATCAGCAGCATCAACTTTTTTTTTAAATAATTAACTTCTTTCCTGTCATTTTTAACTATTTTTTCTTTCCTGTTCCTAAATAGAACCTCCACATAAAGAAGGAAATTTACTTTTACAGATTGATTTTCAAGGAAAGCAATAATATGTGTAAAAGTGGTATCACAGATACAGAGTAAAGAAACTTGATCCTCCTATTTATTTCCAGTTTTAAGCACCTTGCATTCAATTTAACAACAGGAGAACAAATATTTTAACACAAAAGTGTGCTTTCAGAGTTGGTGATAAGTCACAGAATGACAGATTTCATCTGTAGTTCAATAAACATCAGAATATCTGGCAAAACTCCTGAATGAAGAGTTGCATGCTGCGATCAGATAGACATGCAGCACTGAAGCCAAAGGAAATTGTGGCTGTAATCCTGCAACTGAATCTCTGCAGATGGCATCTCCATGCAGTAAATGGGGCTTCCTATAGGTGCAACGGTCTGCTTGTGCAGATCTGAACTGGGGAGAATGTACACAGCTCAAAGTCCCTTGAGCTGTCAAACTGTGGCTTGGCACAGCATTACTGCATTGTAATGACTATAGTTAGAAGTAAATGAATGCAGGGTATGCATAAATAAAATTAAATATTTCTTACGTGGCATTGCATCTCAGCAGATATAAAAATTCTACCTAAAAGGATACTATTCTATTTTTTTAATGTTTCTATTCCCTGGCTAAGCTGATAGGAGAGAGACTGTCCTCTCTGCATTCTTTACAACCTGCCCTCAAGTCCTGAATCTGTTCCTCTTCAAAAGCTTATGTGGATCATTCCAGTTAAAATTAACATTTCTCTCTGCCCAGACTGAACAACTGGAAAAGGCTTGTCACACACAAGCACGAAGCTACAGCAGTCTATTCTCATAACTCAGAAGTCAGGCTGAAGACTCAAGGACATATCAAATAGGCTCATTTCTGACAAGAAGTGCTGGTATTGTAATACCCAATGGCACTCTGGGGAGTGGTATATTTCTGCCTAAAATGCTGGACTTCTCAGTGTCATTCAAAAACTAAGACTTGTGCTACCAGCTCTGCTAATGACAGCAGAGCTACTACTCCCCTGATACAGGTGAAAACTAAACCTGCACTCTGACCACCTTCCTTATCTTACTTTGCAACCTGTTACATTTATGGCTTTCCTGCAGAGGCAATCTGGACAAAAACGCCTTTCCCTCCAGAAAGGTGTCATAAAGTAGTTCTTTCTCACACCAGATATCAGCTTTTTGCTTTCTGAAAGGGTCTGCTCAGACATCAGCATTAGCTGCCTGCAGAGTTGCACCAATGACAAAGAAGCAGTCCCCTCAAAGCCGGGCCTAGGATTTGAACCCAAGTCCCTGCTATTTCTACTAAACTCATGGGATACATATATTTTTTTTTAAGGCATTAAATCTTGAATGTCACTTTTTTTACTTCTGACCACATACACAAGCTCCATCTACATTTGCATTAGTCCAGTGCTGCACAGATTCATGTTGCTTCACTAAAAGAGTATTTAGCTACCAAATGAAGGGAAAACTTAGTTTACTTGTTGCTCTTGATTGTATCATGCACTACGACTTAAAAATAAGAAAGTGAACAAAACAAAAAGAAAAGAAAAGGAAAAGCACCTGAATGGTTCTGACTCATGTACATCTAAGGCTGCCCCTCGTATCCTTCCTTCCTTCAGGGCCTGTGCAAGTGCTTTTTCGTCTACTAACCCACCTCGAGCTGTGTTGACCAGGAAAGCCCCTTGTCTCATCTAGGGAAAGTTAAAAACAAGAATGATGAAATAAAAATAAATGAAATAAAATCGTTGTGGCATTATTTTTTACTCAAAAGAAGCATCCATTACAACAAAGGCTATTCAGCTGGTTTAACCTGTAACAGTTGTCTTCCCTTTCCACTGGAAAGTACCACAAAATGTGATGCTTCTAACATAAAATGCTATTTCACAGCACTTAATAACCTTTTGTTTCTTGTAAGTAGTGTCTCTTAAAAGAAGCGTCGTTTCAGATCTTGTGCAGTAACATGATCAAAAGATACAACTGTGCATATGAAAGTGACAGATCATTTTATGCCTTTTTATTTCACTGTGAAATTGCATGAGACAGAAACTACAGCACATTCTTAAACAAATTCATATTTTGTGGTTTTCAACTTTCACACAAATAAAAGCCTACATGAATTTTGCAGGAAAATCAATGCTTTTGGATTTTCAAACGCTTTTCCCTTTAGTTGTCAAAACACAGTAGATCTATGTTTTATTTATCTTTGTTACTTCAGCTTCCTCCTCCCTGTGAGACTTTTCAAACAAAGGTCTAAAGAATTCGTTCATTATTCAATTAAAAGGCATGAAAATGAATTTGGTGGAGAACGCTGTGTGCCCAGGAGAGAAGCTGTGCTGTGCACTGTGCAGATTAGCATTGTAGATGACACTGCGTGGGGAGAGCTACAAGAATTTACACCCTAATGTATCCACAACATGAAAACAAAGTGTCGGTTTAAATAAGAGAGATGGTAGGAAACAAAAATAAAGTACTACATCCTGCTTCCAGCCACCCTAATACTTCATCTTTTACCCAAAGTCTCAAACACAGCTTCTGGTCTCAGAAGCATTTCTGTGCATGAAGGTAAGCTTCTGAAGAGCAGGAACCATGGTGCAGACAAATGCAAAAGATCTCATTTTGCACTGCGTCCATCTCTCACCATACAAGAAGAAGAAACTCCCAACGTTTTGAGACCAAGTCCACTGCTTGAAACCTATGTATCAAACTAAAGCTTATGTAAGTGGATCCTTATGTTGAAAGACTGATTTGAAACACTGAATTAATGAAGAACAAGGAGGTTTGGATGAAAGTCAGCTACAAGAAATTTTTTTTATATGACATCATAGGAAATAATAAACAATTAACTTACATATGGTTGCTGTAAGTTTGTAAGAAAAAACCCCATTATTATTTTAGTGGCTAACTCACTGGGTTTAGCCTGGCCCTGCTTCTCCCCACATGTAGATTCCTGGTCTTACAGAAGAACTGTCTATTGGTCTTTATAGCAAAACCATAGTCCACTACAGGAGCAGAATAGAGGGGTACTTCTTTTAGTTTCATGTAATTAACTTGAGAATTAGAACAGTGAAGAAATGCTGGCATGATCTTAAGTTGCTCTGGTAACAGGACATTCCTGATGGGAACTACCACTGCAGCCCCACTACAAAAGTCAGGTGAGAGAACTTGATCCAAAGCAGCACAGGAAGCTCACCCAAGTGACAACAACTACATCTCTTGTGCAGATGCAGATATGTAGATATGCCATATAGGCACCTGGGAGCTTATAAACCCTTCCTATTTTGTGCTCTTGAGAAAAGTTGAGTTTTAAGTATAGTCTGGTGTATTTATATACCCTTTGAAGGACTTGAAAATTTTAATTAAAGTGTAACCTTGCTAAAATCTGTCTGACCTTCATCTTGCTGAAGTTCTTGTTTTAGGACTACTTACAAAAGTAGGGCTAGTATTGAGACAAGTCCAAATCAAACACAACCTGGCTGCATAAATGCACTGTAGTGGGAATGAATTATGCGACTCATGACAAACTCTAAGGGTGGATGCAGCTGGAGATGACCCTTAACAATGGGTGGAAGCTTGAAAGAGCGTCACAGAACTGCTGATGCTTGTTAAACTCACCTAGAGTAAACCTGCACAGCTGCTTTAAAAATGTTCTGCACTTAAATGGCAGCGTCTGCTTCTCAAATCTGTAAAACTAAAGATGACCTCAGCTTCTCTTAAGAGTACTTGACTACCATGGGTTCAATAAACACAAGCTTTAAACACTTCTCTGAGCTACTCTGGGACTACAAGGCCAAGCATGATGGTGAGGCAGAATGCTGACTAATTAAAGGGAAAAGCTACGGGAAGAGAAGAGACACACCAAATTTTCAAAAACATTTTTAGGTTATGAATTTCAGATTCTAAACAAAACTCAGGGTGAGACTTCAGTGACTTTTAGACTACACTTCTCTGTACTTTGTTTAATAACAGGTTATTATATGAGCATGGAATATTAGACAACAGTGGTGTGCAAGGCTCTCCACAAATTTCAGGCCAATTCAAACATCTGCCAGCCTGAAGAAGCTATTCTGCTCTTTTTGATACATATTCAGATGATCTTTTCTACAGTCAGAAATGTTAAAATGTTAGGGTGTTCACATCAGCTGTTACAATACAGACTGCTTCATCCAAACTTTTATCTAAAGCAAGAACGACCTTCTAACATTTTAATCCTTGCTTTGATAATGAAGGATAAGAAATAGCAAGATAGAAGCTTATGATACACTTTTCAGCACAGACTTCATTACCTGCATTTCATTTCAGATGGTATCAGTCGGGTTTAACATGTTTTGTTTCTCTGATGAATGCATTAAACCCTCTCCAAAGCTCATCACATTTATGCACCTCCTCTCAAAAACTTCCTGTGATACACTGGCCCAAGCTGCACAGTCCTCTGTGTAATGAGTGACCCCTGCTAAGCCTCCAGACAGCCCCACTGAATTCAGTGTGATTCTATTTGGGTCTAGATGTCTGCTTGCAAAGACATCTAACCATGTAATGATCATTACAGGTACCCAAGCACACAACAAAAGAGAGCGTTTAGGGCAGGGTGACAGAGCTCTGTTCTCTTAGAGATTTGCATTTTCAACATCTTCCTTTTTTGGAGTGTTAAATCCCAAATGCTGGTTTTATGTTGGAATGGATCTGCAAATACCCTAAACTCTCAAAGAAAGAAGTGTGTTATATTGTCAGTTCTCTGCCATGCTGCCACATGACTGAGGAACACATTCAGTAATTATTGCAGCTCTCCTGAAGTTCACAAGTAGTAGGTACAAACTGATTCTCAGAAGTTAAGCAATGATTTTACTTTAAGAGTGCTACTGTCAGTTACCAATAGGTACAAACACCACATATATAAAGATGAGAAAAACAGACTGTTAGATCTTAGAGTTTCTTTCTTGTACAGTATCTATATTCCTACATCTCAACGTTATATCTCTGGCTGTTAGTTACCTCACTGAGGTTGGAGTCAGAAGCCAGGCATGAATGAGAAAGCTTGCTGTTGAGTAAGTCAATAACAGAGCAGTTACTATACCTAGAATTTGAAATTATTTTCATGTTACCTAAAACTTTAGGGAGAGGTTAGTACTAATTTCAAGAAACATTAATTTTCCAAAGACTGCAGTGCTGTAAATGCAACCCGTCCCTGAAACGTTCTGCAAAGATCAGGACTGAGCACAGGGGGGAGCCATTTAGTCACAAGCCTTAAACTGCATCTCAAGAACTCCGAGGAGCTGAGCATGAAATGCAGAATTGCTACCTGAAAATACAGAGGTAGAGGAAGCAGCTACCAGAAGACATAGAAAAAGTCCTTTTACAGAAATGCAACTTTATTAAATCTGAGCAACATTAAAAAGAGCAAATTATTTCCACAAATGCAATGTTACTGAGGAAAAAAAAGACAATAAAAGGAACAACATAAGGTACCAGCTATTTCCTAATCAGTTAAAAACCTGCTTGATCTCAAAGCAGCAAAAGGGAAATAAATTTGATTCAAATGAGAATCTGCCTGCTTGCTTAAATAAATGCTACACAGTGTCAGCCACCAGCACCGGTGTGGAGGGTGCCCAGAGAGATTATTACCTGCTTTATGGTGAAGTCATTAATAAGATGATGATTGTGTTCATTCAAGTTGCAGTGCAGGGTAACACAGTCACTGTGGAACAGCAGGTCCTGCAAAGTGCTCACCCGCTGCAGTCCCAGAGCACGCTCCATGCCATCCGAGAGGTATGGGTCATAGAAAATCACACTGAAGCCAAAGGCTTTGGCACGTAGTGCTACTGCTTGCCCAACACGCCCTGGAACAAGATGAACATGCAGTGAGAACCGAGGTGCAGCAGCTGGTTTAATGTAGCTTCCTCTTTCCTATTGCAAATGCCTGTATCAAACCATTCTGTTTTGTGCAGCAACTGGAAGAGGATAAAGTGACGACCCTCATCCCACTTGAAGACACAACTAAGACCAAAAATGTTTCATCTGGGCTGTTTCACACTGTGTTGTCCAAAACAAAGCAGGTGATTTGTACCCTTTGCAACCAGAGATCTGAAATGCCGGAGATGTCACATAACCTGCCACAATCTGTGTAATACAAGGGTTTGCCTGCTGGACCTGTTTATGGTAAAACACTACTGTTTGGGAATGCATCCTGCCATGGACTTGTTCTTACACATGTGAGACCAGCTGGCTTTAATAAAAAGCTATAAAATTAATCCTCAGAAATGGATGCAACAAAAGATAATTTGTTTAATCTGCAGCTCAACAATTCTCAATACACAGAATCTCCTTTCTGAACTAGTATTTTCTTTTGTTTTGAGTAATATCCTTCCAGCATTAAAATGCCTAAAAAGAATCCTGTCATCTGAGGCTCAAAAAAATGTCATATCCATATCACCTGGCTGGATGAATGAATGATGAATAAATACATCCCATCGTATGGCACCTAGTTAAGAAGCATGTGACATCATTTGGTGTTCACATTGACCTTAACTTTTCTCTGTTCCTCTTTCCTACTGGTGTATTCCAGAGTTGGCTCTGAAATTGCTATTTGGTCTTGACTCCATGCCACATGTATCAGGAGACATGCATTTCCCTTTGACACACTAAGAGTAAAACAGAGAAAAAAGTGACTACATCTAGTGAGTAAGAGTATTTAGAAGAATGAGAACTAACACACTTGTCAGGTTAGAAGACTACACACTAGATATTCACCTTAGGGTATTATGAAAATAAAGAGATTTCGACAGCATCACTAGACATACCTTAATAATCATGTCTCATTAAAAAAAAGAAGTTTCTTTTTGTAACACCTCAGTTTGTTCAAAAAAAGCATCAGATTAACAGAGGGAAATCCCTTTTTTTTCCAATTGTACTTGAAGGGATTTCCCTCTGCTTTTCAGTTTCTTTTTGAATAAACTTAAGAAGCCACAAGAAGAAAGGTTTTTTTGTTAATCATTTAACCTGAACACAGCAGTTTTGCAGTGCTTAGTGACAATGTGCTTAGAATATTAAGCAGTATGTCAATCTGATGGGGGCTGACTGCTTTTCTTTGGGGACACCAACTTAAAATCCTCTTCAAAACCTTTTACTTCAATACTTGCATACATGTTATTTGCTTTCCAAGCTGTTATTTATAAACTTAAACTAAACGGTTTTCAGCACAAACATGGTATTAAATATTTTCAAATTTCAGGATGTTCACAGCTCAAGGAATCAGTCACACAACTGTAAACAAAGTTGTGGGTTTTTTAAACAAAGCATATTGCTTTTACTCCAGCTCCATTCATTTTTCACATGCAGCATTCTGTCATCTGTTCTTTTTAACACTCTTTACAACAACTAATACCTGAGGGGAGTCACAACAGTGAAATCTCTTCCAACAGATTCTTCAGTTACAGATACACTTCCCATTCATTGGAACCAGGCTCCTCAACCAAAATCCTTCTTTTCTGTGCACAAAGTTTCCTTCTGAAACACTAGCCAGAATTGTCCTATTACAACTATTTTATGGGACAAACTCTTCACAACTGACAATTCATATTTAGTCTTAGTCACTAGACAAACACATAGATGGACACATGTAATTTGCCAATTCCTTTTTAAACTACAGTCTGCCAATGTAGTACAACCACATGCCTGCAACAGTTTTTTTCCTTTCCTGAAGAACTTCTATTATATAAGACTCCCCTGGGCACGATGGGTGACTCAAAACCTACCTCAGCACATCCAGAACAACAGAACAGCAAACAAAGCGTCTCACCTTCAGGACAACTATCTTAAAAACACACATAATTGCTATGAATATTCATGACTGCTTCCAGGGAAGGCAAATTCTAAAGTTCAAAATATTAAATGAACTCCTTGGTGTGTAGTTGGTAAGAATGCAGAAAATGCACATTGCAAACAATTGCAAAAGCAGGAAGCAAGAAAAAGCCTATTGTAGAAATTAGAGATGTATTCCAAGCTCTAGCAAAGTCCATGCATAATTTCAGTGACACTGTTGCAGTCTGACCTGTGCACTCCTCACAAGTCTCCCAACTCCTCCAGTCTGTAGGTACCTCTGACCTTGAACATGCCAATGACCTCAATTGAGTGGGACAGTCTGGCTGCTGCAGTTGTCAATGACCCTCACCCAGCCCTTGGGAAATGAATGTGCATCCCATGATGGTACTGCAGAATTTTATTAACTGCCCCTGATAGCATGGAAATGCTGATGACCTGCCTGCAGACCTCCATGGAAAGAAAAAGTACTTTCACTTGGCAGCTCTTCCCTGTCTACACGACAGTCATGGAGACTCTGGGTAATTCTTCCTCCCTCCTGGAGAACTCTAAAATGCAG